AGGATATGACATCTTTCTGATCTTTCTGCTCTATTTTCGGTGTGCCTTTATCATCAACACCGTACGCCCTAAAACGATTACTTGCAACCTTGCTTGATAGTTGCACTTATAGCAAAAAGCTATACGTGGACACTTATGCATCAGACATAAGCATAAAAAAGAACGAACCAAGAAGCAAGAAAAGAAAGGAACAAAAATGGGGTGAGAGAGAAATGGGGTGAGAGAGAAGAGACACGGATCCATCTAAAACACCAAGAAGGAGAATAGATCAGTTCTCAAAACTCGTACCAAAGAGACTTGGAAAAGTATGACCCAAAGTCTTTCCTAACAAACATAAAGGACAAGCTCGCGCTAATTTTTCTAAACCCCAAAGACACAGGATTGATCGAATCCACCAAATGCTTTTCCAAAATGAGGTTTAAAATCTCCCAAACTTCAAAAGAAAGTGACTTCGGGGAAACCACCATTGATATTTTCAAACTCATGCCGAAATCAAAATTCTCCCACTTTCGAATTAAAGAAGTCTCGTATATCAAATAAACATGAAATTTTCCCACATAACCTAAATAAATGCTCAGGGCCAGGGCCAATAGAGAAGAGAAAGCAACCACCAAGGCCCTCGGCTAAGACAAGAAACAGGGCTAAATGAGGCTCACGGCTAAGGCAGAAGACAGCTTCCAAGACTCATGACCAAAGGCAACCAAAGGGGCAGCAAAGAGGGCAGCGAGTGAGGCTCACGGCTAAGGCAACCAAAAGAACCACCAATGACTACTATGCTTCCCTGACAAACATAAGAGGATAACTAAAGTGATTATAATTTTTGGGATGACAAACTTGTTTCATCCACAACACTCAAGCCAATTAAACCTAGCAAGAAGGACCAAATCACACCGCATGACCTCCAATAGGCCTCACTGGTAAGGACCAAAAGGGGAGGCTCACAGCTGAGGCAAACCCAAGAAACAACAAGTGAGGCTCACGGCTAAGGCAAACCCGAGGCACAGGAGCTGAAGAGGCTCACGGCTGAGGCAAACCCAAGGAACAACAAGTGAGGCTCACGGTTAAGGCAAACCCGAATCAATTCCCTACAAGTTTTGATATACATAGGAGAGTATAAAACATCACCAATCTCTCAAAGTAATAAGTTTGATCCATCTACAATCATTCAAATGATTCAAACTCAACAAGAGGGGGTAGATTAAACTCAAGAAGCTCCAATAGGTCTCACGGGTAGGA